AGACCGATGGCCAATCGTACATCAGTGAATGCGTTCAGAAGGCCAGGCATGGAGCAAGGGCTCAAGGTGAGTTGAATGGAACCCCACTAAAGTTCGCTGCTTGCTGAGAACCTTTTTGATTCCGTTATTACTTCAAGCTCAGGTTCTCCTTAGTCTCTTCCCCTCCTCCTCTTCCTTCACATCCCCATGCCCCTCCTTGCCTTTCTCTGCATCGTTTGCCTGGGAGTGGTGCAACAGATTCTGGAGCAAGTGAGGCAGCAGGTGCAAGTGCCAGTGCTTACTGACGTACATGAAACGAGCCAGGTGAGATGAGATGAAACGAGCCAGGTGAGATGAGATGAAACGAGCTCGATGAGATGAGATGAAACGATCCAGGTGAGATGAGATGAAACGAGCCTGGTGAGATGAGATGAGATGAACGAGCCAGATGAGACGAGATGAAACGAGCTGGGTAAGATGAGATGAAACGAGCCAGATGAGATGAGATGAAACGAGCCAGATGAGATGAGGTGGGATGAAACGAGCTAGGTGTGATGAGCCAGTGGCCACCAGTGGTTCACATCATTCAGACTCCACCCTACATCTCCGTACTTCCTCTCCTTCCTCTCCTCCTTCCCCTCCCACATCCTCCCCCCTCCTTCCCACCTCCCCTGCACACAGTGCGAGCCGGTAGCCAGGGTGGTGGACGTTATTCAGATCCCAGCCTTCCTATGCAGACAGGTGACCCTTCATACCAGGCAGCTCTGACCTTTCCCAACACGAATCGCTACACCCAACTTGCTTCCTTCAGTATTTGTCGTCCTGTCACGACAACCCCCCAATCTCTTGACCTCATGCTCGTGCTACCCACGGGTCGTCCGGTTTTGAGGCGCATCAAAACCTGACAAAACCCCAATCTCGTTCCTCTGCTCGTACTACCCATGGGTTCCGAATTTTTCCCCATCCCTTCCTCCTGCCCTTTCTTCCCCCTTACCTCCTGCGCTGCAGTAGACGGACCTGCTGACAGCAGCAGCTCGCACGGTCTTTAAGTCAACTCAAAACAAGCCCCCCTCCTTCCTACCCCGTCTCTCTCCCCCTGTCCTCCTCCCTCCTCTGCAGTAGACGGACCTGCTGACAGCAGCAGCTCGCACAGACCGACCCATCCACATCAAGAAGGGACAGATGTGCAGTGCTGAGGTGAGGTGCTGTACTGAGCTGTGAGGTGCTGTGCGGTGAGGCGAGGTGAGGTGAGGTAGATGATCCATGAACCCATACATTAGTCGATGCAATGATCAGTCCTTTTTCCACTCCACACATGCGTGCATCCATCCCCCCACTCAACAGGTGGTGGTGACAGCAGCAGAGGGTGAGGGCGGCATGCAATCCCCATGAACGCTTGGAACCCCTCTCTTCCCCCGCAAACACACACACAACCATTTTTTGTTCTACCCAATCCGCCCATTCGTGCATTCATCCATCCATCCATCCCACACACGCCAGGTCGTGGTGGTGGCAGCAGCAGAGAAGGTGCGGGTGGCGGGAAATCCCCATGTGATGGTGTGTGAGAGTGACCTCAATAGTGCATACTTGGATCAGCGCATGCATGAACCCCACCAACACACACACACACACACACACACACACACACACACACTCTCCAGGTGGTGGTGGCAGCAGCAGATAAGGTGCGGGCGGCCGGCAATCCCCATGTGATGGTGTGTGAACGAGGCACCATGTTTGGATACGGAGATCTGATGGACGCACCCATGCATCCACCCATCCCCCCCACACACCCATTTACATACACGCCAGGTGGTGGTGGCAGCAGCGGAAAAGGTGCGGGCGGCGGGCAATCCCCATCTGATGGTGCTCGAAAATGGCCTCTTTATTGCATTCTTTAATCAATACATGCACTCATGCACCCCTCTCACACAGGCCAGGTGGTGGTGGCAGCAGCGGATAAGGTGCGGGCGGCCGGCAATCCCCATGTGATGGTGTGAGCGGGGCACTCAATTCATGCATCCACACATGCATGCACCCCACCCACACACACTTGCCAGGTGGTGGTGGCAGCCGCAGAGAAGGTGCGCGCTGCGGGCAACCCCCATGTGATGGTGTGTGAGCGGAGCACCATTAGTGGATTCTTTAATCAATGCATGCGTTCATGCACCCACCCCCACACACCAGGTGGTGGTGGCAGCAGCAGAGAAGGTGCGGGCGGCGGGCAATCCCCATGTGATGGTGTGTGAGCGCGGCACCATGTTTGGATACGGAGATCTGATCCTGGATCCGCGCAATCTGGTCCAGATGCGGGCGGCAAACTGCCCTGTGGTTGCTGACGTCACCCACTCCCTGCAGCGACCGGCTCAGCGGCAGGTATGGCCTCCAATGGTGGACTGACACGTGGCTACAGCATCTGAATCTTTTGTTTGGTATAGTTGACTCGCATCAACACTTGTGGGACTTGCGTTGACTTTATTGGTGCGGAATTAAATTGACTGTAATTGACTCGCATTGACTTCCCTTGACTTGCAGCTGCCAGGAGGGGGACTGGCAAGCGGAGGGCAGAGGCATCTCATCCCTGCTGTGGCGCGAGCATGTGTGGCGGTGGGGGTGGACGGCATTTTCATGGAGGTAAGCAGTAAGATGTTTTTCAAGTACCAAGGTGCTATGCATGTGTGTGTGAATGCATGTGAGCACGTGTGGCGGTGGGGATGGATGGCATGTTCATGGGGGTGAGCACTGGGATAGGCGTTTCGATGGGTGTATGATGCTGCTTGTCAGTGCTGATATGTGCAAGCGAGCATGTGTGGCAGTTGAGTTGGATGGCATTTCTATGGGGTGAGCACTGGGATAGGCGTTGTGATGGGTGTATGATGCTCTTGGCAGTGTTGACATGTGCTGTGCGAGCGAGCATGTGTGGCAGTGGGTGGAGGGCAACTTTATGGAGGTAACCTCTTTCGTATGTGCTGTGCATAGATGCATGAAGGTGCATGTGAGCATGCATGGAACAGGCGTAGTGTGGTGTCGTTTGTGTAGCAGAAGGTATGGGCTCTTACCCTCCTCTCTGCTGCCCACCGCTGACCTCTTTGCTGCCCCCCGCTGACCTCCGTCCACTGCTGACTTCTCTGCTGCCCATCGCCACCCCCTGTGTTACCGATCGTCTCTTTTCTTGTGGTCGCGTGGCAGGTTCACGACAATCCCGAGGCTGCTCCTGTGGATGGTCCAACACAGTGGGTGAGTGGGGGAGGGTGAAGGGTGATGTAAAATCAGGAAGGGGGAAGGAGAGTGAGGGGTAATGGCATGGGAGAGGAGGGAGAGGTTGGCGAGGTGAATAGGAAGTGAGGGATGAGTGGAAGGGTGGTATGGTGAGGCGTGAAGCAGACAGAGTGGTGGATGGGAAATAGAGGTGGGTAGCAATAGTGGAGAGGTATGGGAATGTTGAAGTACAAAATTTCAGTTGTTTCGGCCCCTGACGATTTCCTATTCATTTCCTGTCACCCATGTTCCCCTTGTCTCCCGTCCCGTATCGCCAGCCACTTCATCTGCTGCGGCCATTGCTGACAGAACTGATTGCCATTGCTGTACGTCTAGTTCTGCTTAAACTCGGTCTTTTCCTCTTTTTTTTTTCCTTGACGAAAGGCAGCACGTGTGGTTACCGAGACTGGTTGTGCAGTGTGTTTGCTTGTCCTACCAAACCATGACTTTTCTTGTGTGTGTTGTTCACCATGTGGCCAGGGTGCTAGCAAAGGGAGAGTAACGTCGTACGTATGAGATTATTTTTGTGGTTAAATGTGATGCACACTATATAAAGTGATGATCGAGTATCCTTTGTTTTAGTATATGAAAGTTACGTTGTGAGGTCGTGTACTGCATATTCATCAAACGCCTTCTATTTTGGCACGCACTTTAGATGGCTCCATTTGCGACTTGATATCGTGGCACTGGGTGCCAGCCGTCCATACTTTCAATTGCAGGTTCAACGCGGCGGTTCGTATCTTACCCGCTGTGCAGAATTTCGTTCGCACACCGTTCAGTTTCTGATCGCACCGCAACTCTGCGACACAGAATGTTGGCTTTCAGGTCTGGCCTGGGGTCACCCCGCAAACCACCTGCACCTGCCTGTCACTTGCGACAAGACGCCTTTCTGGCGATGAAATGTCGGTTGCCGCCAAAGCGCGACCTCGGTTGTACTCAAAACCTTGAGGTCGTATCTAGCGTTGTAGAATTCGCAAGTTTTGCATTTGAGCAAAATCAACTGGCATTACAGTTTCGTTATAAAAACTTACAACACCCGTGAACCCAGACTTATTCTCTTAAGCCCACTTCGAAACGCACGCTCATGTGAACCTTGGGATGGGCTGCCTGGATCAGGTTGCATTTTTGGGATAGGGAAGTTGATCGGCGTAGGGTGTGGGTTGTGATGATGTCGAGGTCGCTATTTCTTCTCAACCCACCGTCACCTCCTGCTACCTCCTCTCACTTTTCTTCACCTCTTCTAACTTCGCCTTTGCCTTTACCAAGAACCACGCTGTCGAGCCGACATCCACTTTTCCCTCTCCCGCACAAAAAGAACACCATCCAACATCACTACCTGGACAACTTCAAGGCTTCTTTTGAAAGTTGAGCGTTCTTTTCGCGCTTCGATGAAAGTTTCTTCCAGCGTTCTTCCTAGCCTGATTTTACTTGGACGCCTCCTCGCTTCCATCTGTCTCTCACTACTACCACCCGCTGATAGTTAGGTCGTGCATTTCCAGCGCCTTGAGTTCGTTGTTGGATTCTGCGTCTGCATCATTTAGACTCTTGATGGGAAGTGATTAAGTCCGATTGCGAATCCAAAACAATTAACATTCTGTTCTAATATTTGAAGATTCGCGAGGTGTCATCATACTCGATAGTGTCACCTTTGGTCCATCGGTCCTATCCGAGACTGCGTGAAACTAGACCGTGTCTAGGTCCAGTAACCCTAGCAGGCGAACTTATTCCGCAGGGACATTGTTCTACGATTTTCAGCCATAGAAATGGCAAGACCACGCGTGCGAGCTTCACTGAGAGTGTTTGCCTTGATCGCCCTCTCCGCGACTATCATGCTTTGCAACCACCAATCTGGTCGTCCGTGTGAGTTCTTCTCCCCGTTTGTGGCGCCTAAAGACGTAGCCTTCCTTAGAGCGTACTTGATATGTTCAATATGCGTGCGTATCTTCAGGCGGCACTTATCGACTTTTGAGAAATTTCGAAAACATTTAATGAATGGACGGCCCTAAAGCTGCGTTTCGGCTTCGCAACCACGTGCTATCTGTTGGCATGTCATCTGCGAACCATCTTGTAATCAACCACCACCGTTAGTTCTCACTCCTTCCTTCGTGTTGCTCCTTCTGCCCCTGCATTTCCCCCTCCCGCCCTTCCCTTTTCCCCTCCTCCCGCCCTTCCCTTTTCCCCTCCTCCCGGCCCCTCTCATCCCCACCCACTTCCCCTCCCCGCGCCCCCTGTTCTCCACACATCAGCCCCAATCACCCCAGCTCACGCAATTCAAGTCGACCTGGCGAAAACAAAGTTACCTCTATCTCCGTGGGAGCAGGCTCGCGCGACAATCAACCTCGCGAGATCCAAGCTACCCAAGTTACCACGATCGTCGCCGTACGAGCGCGAGTGGGCGAAATATCGCCAGCGCGACGGGCTGCTGTCGCTGGACTATGTGAAATCGCTGGCGCGGACGAGTGCAGCCAAAAAGAAGAGTGGTAGCAGCGACGTCTTTAAAGTCGTTTTTGTAAGTAACCGCTCTGCACCGCACTGTTCTGCGCCTTTTCTCCTCTCCTGTGTCTGTCCCCTTACCTGATTGCCACGTCTTCACCCCTCTCTTTTCCCTTCCCCCAGTGCTCTCCCACGCCCTCGCCTCCCGTCCAGGGGGAAACCTGTTCATCAACCCCAGGACCAGGGCATCACCGCCTGGCAGAACTTTGGCCATATTGAAACCACTTTTGCGAATTCTCAAAAGTGATTTCAACATAACCGCCTGGCAGGGCTTTGGCTGATTCCTCCCTTTTCCCCGTTCGCCTCCTCCCATCCCCATCCTCCAGTGTTCCGACACGCCCACGCCCCCTGCTCAAGAGGGAAATCTCTTCACCAACCCCAGCATAGAGAACGGCACCATGGGCTGGCAGGGCTTTGGGTGACACTTCCCCTTCCTTGGCTCACTCCCCTCTTTTTTTCCTCCTTCCAGTGTTCCGACACGCCCACGCCCCCCGCCCAAGAGGGTAATCTCTTCACCAACCCCAGCATGGAGAACGGCACCATGGGCTGGCAGGGCTTTGGGTACGCGCCGATTAAAGCCGTGGTCAACGCAACAGCGCCAACGCCCTACTCGTACCTGGTGGCGTACAACCGCTCGTACACTTATGCGGGGCCCAAGCAGAGCGTGAGGGATGTGGCTGCGGCGGTGTATGAGCTGGCGATCTGGGTGAAGCTGGATGCGGGCGACAGGCAGTATGTGACTGCATCAGCAAAGATCAACAACAAGTGAGTTTGGTTCAGGTGCCGCAGTGCAGCTCACTGTCGGGGATACGATACAGCACAAGGTACAGCCCTACTCGTACCTGGTGGCACACAATCGCTCGTACACGTATGCGGGGCCCAAGCAGAGCGTGAAGGACGTGCCTGCGGCGGCTTATGAGCTGGCTATCTGGGTGAAGCTGGATGCGGGTGATAGGCAGTATGTCACTGCATCCGCCAAGATAAATAATAAGTGAGTGTTGTACAGGCACTTGTGGTGAAGCTGGATGCAGGTGATAGGCAGTACGTCACTGCATCGACCAAGATCAACAACAAGTGAGTGGGATGGGCTTGAGAGCTTGCCGTCTGGTCTGGTGAGTCAGCCCACAAGAGGCCGGACGGGTGAAGCTTACGAGCTGGCAGTGTGGGTGAAGTGAAGCTGGATGCGGGGGTCAGGCAGCACGTCACTGCATCGGCTAAGATCAACAACAAGTGAGTTTGTCCCAGGTGCAGCAGCGCAGCTTACCGTTTTCGAGTCGACTCAGAAGCAATCAACAACAAGTGAGTTTGGTACAGGTGCCGCAGCGCAGGTTACTGTCGGGGATACGCACAAGGTACAGTTCTTTTCGTACCTGGTGGCTTACAATCGGTCGTACACATATTTGGGGCTAGAGCGCATGGCAGCAGCGGCAAATGAGCTGGCTGTGTGGGTGAGAGTGGACGTTTGGTATGACACTACAGTTCTGCTATGGCTAAAACCACTCAGAACCACCTGTCTAAGTACATCTGCTTATGCATCCGTTTTATGTTCTCGTTGTTGTCTTTATCGGGCAGGTATCTCTGCATCGGAGGGGCAAACGCTCGGTCCACGTGCTGGACGAAATTAACAGGGGGATTTACCCTGCACGAGCCGGCCGCTGAGGTGGCAGTGTATGTGCAGGGCGCAGCGGTGGGGTCCGAGATCTGGGTGACGTCAGCGTCGCTTCTGAAAGTGGATATGGGCATGTGGCGGAGCCGACAGAATGAGAACATCAAGAAGGTGAGGAGGGGAGTAAGTACGCAGGTGGCGACGGGGGGAAGAGGGAGCACTAACATGTAGAGGATAGAGCTCAAGGCTCTCGAGTACCTTGGTTTTCCCTCAAGATTCTCTCTCAAGATTCTCTCTCCCCTGGCTCCCACGTTCTCCCATGCATCATTCCAGTGTTTCCCATGCACCACATGCATCATCCAACCCTCCCCACCTCTGCCTTCCGGCCTTCTCCCCCCACCCACACCATAGTAGTACCGAACGCGGCCTGCGCAGGTGTGAATCCAAGGCCTGGTGCACTCCTGTGTCGGTTTGCGTGCATGTCTACTCAACACGCCCCCTGTGACCCTGGATGGACAGCCGCACAGGCCCATGCACAACATGCGTCATGCCCCACCCACCACCACAGTACCGCATGCGGCCTGTGCGGCTGTCCGTCCAGGGGTTGGGACTCAGCCTGGTGCCGGCGCGTATGTTTAACTCAACCACACTACCCACATATCCCCGTCATTCTACATCACGCCCCCACCCCACACAACAGTACCGCATGCGGCCTGTGCGGCTGTCAAGTCAAGGCCTGGGGCTCGGCCTGGTTCCGGCACGCGTGCAGATCGACCCACTTCACTCCCCATGCCCCCCCATGCCCCACGCCCCATACTCCCACAACAGTACCGCATGCGGCCTGTGCGGCTGTCAATTCAAGGTCTGGGGCTCGGCCTGGTTCCGGCACGCGTGCAGATCGACCAGGTCTCTTCAGATTTCCCCTTTGGCGCCAATGTGAACGGCGCAATTCTATATGACACGGCTTACCAAGAGGTGAGGCGAAGGGGTATGAAGAGGTGAGGTGAATGTATGCCAAAAGGTTAGGAGGTGAATGTATGCCAAAAGGTTAGGAGGTGAATGTATGCCAAAAGGTTAGGAGGTGAATGTATGCCAAAAGGTTAGGAGGTGAATGTATGCCAAAAGGTTAGGAGGTGAATGTATGCCAAAAGGTTAGGAGGTCAATGTATGCCAAAAGGTTAGGAGGTGAATGTATGCCAAAAGGTTAGGAGGTGAATGTATGCCAAAAGGTTAGGAGGTGAATGTATGCCAAAAGGTTAGGAGGTGAATGTATGCCAAAAGGTGAGGTGATGTTATTGGAGCAAGATGAACAGATCGACCAGGTTTCTTCGGACTTCCTCTTTGGCACCAATGTGAATGGCACGATTCTCCACGACACGGCTTACCAAGAGGGTCACTCCTTTCCAACCCCTTTCCACCCGTCCCCATCCCTTTCAGTGGTTCTTGAGTCGATTCAACTGGGCAGTGTTCAACAACGGGGGCAAGTGGTATTTCAACGAGCGACAGGAAGGAGTGGGGGACTACAATGTGACAGATGCCCTGTTGGATTGGTTCACTCCCCATTTCCACCCCTTACCACCCCCTTCTAGTTGTTGAACAAATTAACTGGTCAGCCTTCAATAACAAAGGCAAATGGTACTTTAACGAGCGCAGGGAGGGAATGGAGGACTACAATGTGACTCCAGTCCCTGCTCTTTTCTAGCTGGGTGGTGCTTCAATCACCTGGTTCCCTCCCATCCCTCCAGTGGTTCTTGAACAGGTTCAACTGGGCAGTGTTCAATAACGAGGGCAAGTGGTATTTCAACGAGCGGAGGGAGGGAGCGGAGGACTACATTGTGACTGACGCGCTGGTGGAGTGGTTCACTCCTTTCAATCCCCTTTCCACCCCTTTGTACCCCCTTCCACCTGCCTCCACTCCCGTCCAACCCCTCTTATCCCGTCAGTGGTTTCTAACTCGATTCAACTGGGCAGTGTTCAACAACGAGGGCAAGTGGTACTTTAATGAGAGATGGGCGGGAGTGGAGGATTACAATGTGACTGACGCGCTGGTGAAGTGGTTCACTCCTTTCAACCCCCTTTCCACCCCTTTCCACCCCCTTCCAACCCCGTCCACTTCCTTCCACCCCAGTGGTTTCTAAACAGGTTCAACTGGGCGGTATTCAACAACGAGGGCAAGTGGTACTTCAACGAGAGGCGGGAGGGAGTGGAGGATTATAATGTGACGGACGCGCTGGTTGATTGGTTCACGCAGAGGAACGTGAGCGTGCGCGGGCACAACATATTCTGGGCCGTGGAGAAGTTTGTTCAAACATGGGTCAAGGTGAGTCAATGGGGGTCAGCGCTGGTCAATGTGGGTCAGCTCTGGTCAAGGTGGGCCAACACTGGTCAAGGTGGGCCAACACTGGTCAAGGAAACTGATGCTGTGATGCTGGTTTAGGTGAGTCAATGCTGGTCGGACTACTACAAATTCTCCCTGTTTGTTTACCCCTTTGTCCCTTCCCCCCTTCCCTTTCCCCAGAATTTAAACGACACTGCTCTATGGGCAGTAATGCAAATGCGGAAATTCTGGGGAAAGGGAAGGGGGGAAGGGACATTGCAGTGATGCGGTACCAAGGCGAGGGGCAGCACTGGGATGTCATCAACAAGCCTCTTTTCCCCCATTGTCCCCTTGGCCCCTTTTCACCTTTGCCCCTTCCTTTTGTTCGCTTTCCTTCATAATCTGAACGACACTGCCTCGTGGGCAGCGATGCAAAGGCGCATGAACAGCGCCCCGCTACAGAGGCAAGGTGCAGCAGTGGGATGTCATCAACGAGCCTCTTTGCTTCATTGTTCTCTCACCCATTCCCATCCCCGTCTCATCCCAGAACCTTAACGACACTGCCTTATGGGCGGCCATGCAAAGGCGCATGAACAGTGCTGTCACCCGGTACACGGGCAAGGTTCAGCACTGGGATGTGATCAACGAGCCTCTGCATGGCAACTACTACGGGCAGCGCCTGGGCGAGGACATTCACTCGTGGATGTTCAAGGCAGCAAGGGCGATTGACCCCAACGTGCGGCTGTTTCTGAATGATTATAACACGGTGGAGCAGTGCGATCGAGGGGCGAACCCAGAGATATACCTTGAGGTGAGAGGCGGTTTAGTGCGGTGAGAGGCCATTGATTTCAATGGTCAGCTGTTTTTGAATTACTATAACACGGTGGAGCAGTGCGACCGAGGGGCCAACCCGGAGGTTTATCTAGAGGTGAGAGGGAGGAACGTAGGTGCAATGCAACCCAGAGGGTGTGTGGCAAGGGGCCAACCCAGAGGTATATCTAGAGGCAAGAGGTATATCTAGAGGCATTTGATCCCGACGTGCAGCTGTTGTTCCTTAACGACACGTTTGAGCAGTGTGTGTTTTGAGACGTCTCAAGACACGTTTGAGCTGTGCAACAGAAAGGCTAACCCAGAGGGGTATCTGGAAGTGAGAGGCGTTTGCTTTGGTCCGAGGGAAAGGGCATGTGGTGTGAGAGAGAGGGCGTGCATTTGTGAAATGTTGAACCAACTCGTATTTTAATTTTCCCTCTCTGTCCTCTACCACTCTCTCCCTTGGTGTTTGAAAGCAGAAGGTGTGGAATCTCAACGCAACAGGGGCACCAGTGACAGGCATAGGCGTGGAGGCTCATTACAGTGGGGAGCCGCAGCTGGTGAGTTGGTGGCTGGGGGAATTTGAACGAGAGCAGTGGAGTGGCTATTTCCGACCCACAGTTACACGCATTGGCTTTGAGGCTCATTCTAGTGGAGAGCTGCAGCTGATGAGTGGAGAAGGAGGGGATGGGAGAGTGTGGCGCGAGAGTGACAGGGATAGACGTGGAGGTTCATTATAGTAAAGAGTTGCATCTGGTGAGTTAGAAAAAATCGGGTACTGAAAGGGGTTGCAGGGCACACGAGAGGAGGAGGAAAGGTGTGAAGGAGCGAGGAGGCACATTATAGTCTTGAGAAGCAGTGTGGACATTACGGTATTTCTGAGATTGGAGACCCGTCTGGCTGACGGATGGGTCATGAGTGCTAAGTTCCCCATCTGGCTGACATACCAGTGAAGTGGTCTCCGCCGATCAGACGGCGGACAATCTTGAGCGCTGATAAAGGCCATCGTGCCGAAACACGTACGCTCGGTTTTGGAACGATAAATCGTTGTTTACTTGATCCCTACCTAGCCTAAGCATAGAATAGTGAAGACTAGAACGAGTTATGTCTGCTGGATCTGGGTCGATGGGGTGCAGCTAAGCCGTGGAAGGAAGACGGTTGTGTTCACCTACAACACGGCGCACCGCATTACCGCGAATGACGCGGAGACCACGGTGGAGCATGGGCTGACTATGGTGCATTTCACGCACACACGCTTTGTGGATCTAACAGACATTGTGCACTGGTCCAGCATGCTGTTTTTGCATGGCGTGGTGGACGCTTTCAAGGCTGAGTATCGTGTTATCCTGATGAGACGGGTGGTGCAATCGAATATCTTCCACGAGGATTTTGATGCGCCGTTTTCCGTGGTGAATTACGGGGTCATGCTGCTGTGGGTGGGCTTGGCCTGGAAGGCGCTGACGGCAGCAACGATGCAAAGGAGCTGGTGGAGGGCGGGATGCGTCCCAGAGGCATGGTGGGAGCTGATGTGGCACCTGCACGGCATGTATTCGGCAGGCATGTACGATCCGCTTGTCTCTACCACGGCGGACCTCCTGGTGCTGCTACGTGAGTTCCGTGTGCGGTCGGCGATTTATATGCCGGCGTCTGACTACGTGACCTGCTATGAGTGGTTAATGGAGAAGGCTGGTGTGAAGTTGGTGACGCCCACCACGCCCACGTCTTCAAGGGACGAGGGCGAGATGTGCCTTCCGGATGGGCCTCTGATGCGAGACGAACGAAGCCGTCGACGTGCCATCCGCAATGTGACGAACGCGTACGTGTGTCACGCTGAGGCGATGGGGATTGCCCCTGCGGAGGTGGCGACTGTTGTTGGCGCCTCTAATGGAGAGGTGGTTAGCCGCCTAAGCCGCACACCGAAGAAGCGTGCGCGCAGTTCTGGGTCGTCGGACAGTGCGTCCGTGTAGTGCGCAAGGCCCTGATGCTGTAGTGGGGGGGGGGGGGGGGGGGTGGGTGGAAGGGTGGGCGTGGTTTGTAGTTGTGGTTGCTGGTTGACGCTAGGGTTTGGCTTTGTGTGTTGTCGTGTTTTGTATTTCTGTACGCTGGAGATGTATGCGAATGGCACTTTTTTAACAGTATGAAGTAGTCGGTGTGCAGCGACTTATCGTTGGTTGTTTTTGTGTGTATACGGTTTTCGGAATAGGTGTATATGTTTCTTTTCTGCGGATACTGTAGCGGGCTTTGGGAGACATGCCTATACCGAGTATTTTTAGCGCTTTGGGCCCGAGCCGCATGTGTTCGAGGCGCCTTCGGCGAGGCGGCGCGGATAATGGCGCAGGTGACGGCAAAGTGACATTTTGGTGGCGGCAATGTTGTGGTCGAGTGTGCGGTTATTGATAGCGCTGCTGTTGCGTTTTACGGTCCTTGTGTTTTTGACACATGTCGCAACAATCACGCAAGGCCCACGCAGAAAAACCTTCGGCCACCCCAAAACACAATTTCCCTTTTCCGCGGAGTCTATTTTTCTGTGCCAATTAAGTGGTCTCCGCCAATCAGAGGGCGGACTGTTTCGGAGGCTGTGATGCGAGACGCCTTTGCACGTCCCAGCATGCCAACCCTCCTCATAACCTTGCCCTCGTTTCTTCACTTGCTCTGCTTGCTTTCTCCTCAGGTCCGTTTGAAGCATGCCCTAAACCGTCTAGCAAGGTGACTTTTGAGTCGACTCAGAAGTCCGCTTGAAGCATGACCTAAACCGGCTAGCCATGGCCGAATGCCCCCTCTGGCTGACGGAGCTGGATTTCAGGGAGGTGGAATCGGATGAAGAAAGGGCGGACTGTTTGAATCCCGGATCTCCTCTCCTCCCTTCTCTACAGGTCCGCTTGAAGCACGACCTGAATCGCCTGCGATGGCAAAACTCCCCATCTGGCTGACAGAGTTCGATTTCAGCGAGGTGGAATCGAATTACAAAAGGGCGAACTGTTTGAATCCCAGATCTCCTCTCCTCCCTTCTCTACAGGTCCGCTTGAAGCACGACCTGAACCGCCTAGCGATGGCCAAGCTCCCCATCTGGTTGACAGAGCTCGATTTCAGTGAAGTGGAGTCGGATGAGCAAAGAGCGGACTATCTCGAGGCGGTGATGCGAGAGGCGTTTTCACATCCCTCGGTGGCGGGCATGGTGCTGTGGTCGGCCGGGAGGGGCACGTGCGAGTATTACAAAGACATTGACTCCAACATGTGCAACGCGTGTGAGGCTTGCCTCGCGGATTCGAGCTTCACGGATAACGAGGCGGGGAAAAGGTGAGAGGTGGGAGAGGGCAAGGCAGCATAGGGATGACATGGTGCTGTGGTCGGCTGGGAGAGGCACGTGCGAGTACTACAAGGACATTGACTCCAACATGTGCAACGCCTGTGAGGCCTGCCTGGCCGATTCGTCTTTCACTGACAATGAGGCTGGGAAAAGGTGAGCTGGGAATGGGTGACAATTGAGTCGATTCAAAAGTTTGTGCTGTGTTCGGCGGGGAGAGGCATGTGCGAGTTCTATAAAGACATTGACTCCAACATGTGCAACGCATGTTAGGCCTGCCTCTCGGATTCGAGCTTCAGGGAGAACGAGGCGGGGAAAAGGTGAGACTTGGGGGCGGGTGTGAGAGGAGGTGTTTTTTAAGGACTCAGCACGTTATGATAATAAGGCGGGAAAAGGGTGAGAGCTGGGAGGGGGTGTAAGTGGAGGTGGACGGTCAGCCAAAAGATTCTCGTGGGTGTTGTTTGGAAGAAACGCCTCAACTGGAGGTGATCCATGAGTCGACTAAAAAGGGGTAAAAAAAAAAAACAAATTGTGGGTGTTGTTTGGAAGCAGAGCCGCAAGCATTTGTACTTACCTCCAAACAAGGGAAGCTGTACTTTTAAAGGAAGCGGGTTTTTTCAGAGATGGATGATTGCAGCAAGTCGCCGCAGCAAGTCTCCGCAGCTGGGAAAACAGTTTCGAGACCTCATATGCCAACAACATTCACCGCCCATTATTCCCGTGATTGTTTTTGTTCATGAGCTATCGCCCCAATTGTTTACCTTTAAGAATACTAGATAAGGCCATTCTTAGGGCCTGGTGTTTCGTGGTTCTTCAAGAATCCAGTTCTTTTGGCTCCAACCACCTCCTCCTTTTCTTCAACACCTCACAGCCCCAAGGCCATTCACCGCCCATTCACTGCTCATCTTTCCTCCTCCGCCCATCCCTCCTCTCCATGTTCGTTCGCCTGCGCAAGTAATGCAGCACTCATGTTAGCGAAGTAATGTGGCTCGGCCGAACCGTTATTGCTTGAACTCCCGTGCGTGTTCTTGCTTGTGGCTACCTGTTCCCACCACACCCTACGCTGTTTTCAACACCTCACATCCCCATTCCATTCACCCCTCGTCTTTCCTCCTCCACCCATCACCCTCCCGCCAGGTTCGTTCGCCTGCGCAAGGAATGGAGCACCCACTTGAGCAGAGTGGTCTGGCTCGGCCGAACCATGAAACTCAGCCCGTTCCCCAAACCAAGGTATACATGCGCGCGCTGCTCTTTGTACTATGTTGTTCCCCCACCACCTAACTTCCTTCCTTCTGTCTCCCCCTCCTACCCACCCATCCGTTCCGCACCGCTCCTCTTCTCTCCTCTCCCCTTCTCTCCTCTCCTCTCCTCTCCTCTCCTCTCCTCTCCTCTCCTCCTCTGCCATTCTCCCTCTCTTCCCTCTCCCTCCCTGCTCCCCCCACGCCCGCTCTCAACCCCCCAGATACCAGGCGCTAAGAGCAGAGTGGAGCACACACTTTTCCAGGCGATCCCGGCTAAACTCGCCCCTCTCCTTCACAGCATTCCACGGCAGGTAGGGTTGGGGTACATTGTTGTTCAATGGCAGATTGTGTGATTTCGCAAGCCAAGCAAGCACCATGCCTTCCAAACACCAGGCCCTGAGAGCAGAGTGGAGCACGCACTTTTCAAGGCGATCCCGGCTGAACTCGCCGCTCTCCTTCACAGCATTCCACGGCAGGTAGGGTTGAGGTTCATTGTTGTTCCATACTCCATGGCAGATTGTGTGATCTTGCAAGCCAAGCAAGCACCATGCCTTCCAAACACCAGGCCCTGAGAGCAGAGTGGAGCACGCACTTTTCAAGGCGATCCCGGCTGAACTCGCCGCTCTCCTTCACAGCATTCCACGGCAGGTGGGTGGGTGGCTCAGCGGTGCATTGCAGGTAGGGTTGTCACTCGAGCCAGGCAGGAAACATGCCCCCCAGATACCAGGCCCTAAGAGCAGAGTGGAGCACCCAGTTTTCCAGGCGATCCCTTCTGAACTCTCCGCTCTCCTTCACAGCGTTCCACGGCAGGTGGGTGGTTTGCTATTCCGGGGCAGGTAGGTAGGTTTAACATTATACATTAGAATGTATCCATCAGCATTCCATGGCAGGTAGCGTGGTTTCTCAAGCCAGCCAGGCAGGTGGAGCTTTGGAAGCTGCCCATATCATCTCATCCATTCACTCTCCTCTTTGAT